TGCGGAAAGGGCTTCCGCTCTGCATTGCTGTTGATGTCTCACATGGGCGGTCATGCCGGGCAGTCGCCCTGCTTCTGTCAGAGCTGTGGGCTGGGCTTCCCTCACCAGCAAAACTACGACATCCACCTCAAAACCTGCGGGCAGACTCCCACGCCTTCAGTAAGTGTACAACCTTTGAATTGTTTATCAGATATTCTGACTGATGTTTATATCTCTGAAGTTAATTTGAGATTCTACAGCTGAAGTTGAGAATAATTTTTAAAACGGAAAAAGGGCAAAATCTACATGGCATTTTATTTAACCTTAGTCATGAATGCAGAAACAAAAAATATCAAACACATTTCTAAAAGTAGCATGGAATTGTCACAAGATGTCCATAACAGCTGGTCAAATCAATATGCAAAGAAATTAGAGAAATATATTTTGAATGGATTTTTATTTTATTTTTTTAGTGCTTTTTTAGGCAGAGGTACTCCAGAGGAAGCATGCAGGTATTGTAAGGCCAAAGGTGCAACTACCTGGGTGGTTGCAGGGACTGGGAGGAGTTTGGAAAGACCGTGGTCAGCCTTATAGCAAGTCTGGCAAACTGTCTGGATCCTTTAGAGGGGGAAGCTGCGCTTTGGTGTTTTTAGTAGGAGAGGAGAGGTGCTAACTTTGACTGAGGACATGGTCACCTGGCTCCCTCCTGCCAAGACCTACAACAAGAACTGTGGCGATTTGCAGCCTAGTTTTAAGCACCTAGGATGAGGATCAGCTCCTCCAAGTGTGAGAAAATGGTGGCTTGCCTCCTTTATTTTGGAGGAGAGTTCTTGCCTCAAGTGGAGGAGTTCAAGGATCTTGTATCACATGTGTGGGGACAACATAGGGGAAGATTGGTAGACGAATCAATGCGGCTACTGTCATGATGTGTTCTCTGAATCAGACTGTTGTGTGAAGAAATAGCTGAGCGAAAAGGCAGAGCTCTTGATATACTGGTTGGTCTATGTTTCTACCCTGAAGTATGGTCATGACAGAAACAACTAGATCTCTGATACAAGTGGCTAAAATGAGCTTTCTCCTCAGGGTGGCTGGGCACTCCTTTAGAGAGGAGCAAGGAGCTCGGTCATTCAAGAGAGGCTCGGACTAGAGCAACTTTTCCTCCACATTAAGAGGAGTCTGCTGAGGCCGACTCAGACATGTGTTTCAGTTGCCCCCTTGTTGAACACAAATGGACGAGAAAATTTAATAGAAGTTAATATCTTCTTTTCTTTTACCTTTGTAATCTTATCAACAGTTTTATCAAGCGTTCTCATCAAGTCTTTTGTTTTAGCAGTCTTAATGCTGAGGTAAACAGGTAGTCGTTTCTCCCCGATGTGTTTTTTTCATGATTTTGTGTGTTTTGTTGCAGAGTATTCCTAAGAAGCATCACACCTCAAAGAGCTCTGTTCCAGAGAAAAAGAAACTTCTAAAGAAAGTTGCAAAAACAACCTCTGTAGCCAACAAAGACCCACAACAGCAGGGTCCCAGTAGCCTAAGACCACACAGCACAGCGTCGACCGAGTCCGGACAGTCAGAGGGAACGTGGACCCTAACTCTGGAAGACAAGACACCTGCCTGTATGAATCTGGTTGTTTTTCTTCCCGTCTGTCCAACACAAACCGATGGGCTACGGCTCCCATCCAGCATCCCTCAGACACTACCAGTCGGCGCCATGCAAGCTCTGCCTCAAGGGCCTCCATCTTTACTGTCAAGCAGTGAACTGCTGGGTGTGAATGCTGCTGTTGAATCTTCACTGAACCCATCCCTGGAGTTAGTAACAGGTTTTACTTCGCAGGACAGAGAAACGCCTTTGGATCTGTCCAAAAGACCAAACTCACCCAAATGCACTGAGTCAGACATTCCTCATCTTTCTGTTAAAAGTGAGCCGAGTGAATTTGAAATCTCTGGGCACGGCAACGATTCGGAAAAGCAAAGGAAAAGTTGCGTAACAGACGGACGATTGGACCTGTGTAGTGAAGCAAAGAGATGTAAAATGGAACCCACGGTTCTCCCTCTTAGTACCTACACAGCATCATCTCCTCTTACTGTGGGCATAAAGAAAGCTCCTCACTCTCCTGATGCAGGTGTGGATGTGTGGTCCTCCTCGTGCAGCCAGCTGACGGACTGTAATCCAGAGAAAAGCATTAAGATTGAAATGGATGTTTAAAGCTCTGGTTAGCCTAATGCATCAGAGGAACACTATAACTTGCAATAATGCTCAAACTATAAACAGCACTTGAATTATATTCCTAGTCGTAATAAATATTGTGTGTACATAAAGTATCAAGTGAAACATGCAACGTATTTCTTATTGTTTTATTTTTCAATAGGATTTCTTCTGTTTGTTGGGATTTAGGACATAATAGCAATAAATGAGAGAAACTGTGACCTAAGCTAAAACAGTTTGCTTCTAAAAATCAAGAAGACATTCCACATTTGAATATGTGTTGTGGCCCAGATGGAGTGAATAAGCCTATGCAGCAGAGTTGTGCTGGATTTCTGTTGGCATCTACAATCTTTGTCTTCATTATTTTTTTCTTTTTCTGTATATGTGTGTGTATTTTTGTACCAGAAACACAGGGGTTTGGGATTCACAATATATGTGTTGCTTGTTCTCCAATTATAATCCTTTTTTTTTTTCAAAGGTAAATAAAAATTTGTTTTTGAAACAGATCATTTTTTCTCCCTCAGGTTTCATCATCCTGGTTTGGTCCCAAATATATTGTAATGGATCCTGGTTGCTCTTAAGCTGTGGAAGTTTATTGCTAAAGCACCATTCACAGACTATTAGATCCAAATGAACTTCAACAAAATTTAAAGTTAAATACAAGGTCTTGAGAAAGCAATACCTTGTATTTAACTTTACTGGGCCTATATCAATCAAATTGTTTTTAAGCTTTTAACTATTTAGCTAAATTGATTGGTTCATGCATCCCTGAGTGATCAATGTATAGTCTGCTCTCTGAGCATCAATCCTTCCCTCGGTGCGTGCGTATGTACTGTATACACAAAGTCTAAAAGATCACTTCCAAGGTTATTGATCACTTGAAAATTGTAATAGAAAACAGCAGCTGCAACACGATTTTCAAGTGATCAATAACCTTGGAAGTAATCTTTACCGTTATAGATTTTGTGGTTTATTTTATTGCATATTTCTTGGTTAAATCTAATTTTTAGTGGTTGCTATGATTTTTGTGCTTTGAGAAATTCTACCTTATTTGTCTGCCTAAGTATCAATTATTCTCTTGCTAATCTACGTGAATGTTTCCACAGTTAATACAAGGTCTGCAACTAACAATTATTTTGCTTATCAATTAATCTGTTGATTTTTGGATTAATTAGAAAATAATCGGATAGCAAAAGGTTCCTTAAAGATTTTTTTTTTTTTTTTAACAGAATTGAACCTGGTGAAACTAAAACTTTTCCACTTGGGGAGCTCTGGATAGAGTATATTGACAGAAGGAAAGAGTTTTTATTTTTTTTCTGAAATGCAAAATCACACACACACTCATTCTGCCATCGTAGTGAGGACCGTGTGTTGACTTCAATTGATTTTCAGTCATTTTCAAACTTGAGTAGAAGTATAGATACGGCAGTTTAAAAACACTCTGGTAAAAGTTGAAGTATCAACTTGACCTCTTTACTCAAGTAAAAGGGAAAAAGTATGTGCTCCAAAAACTACTTAAAGTATAAAGTAACCTTTAAAAAAAAGCAGCCAGATGCCACTATATGAATTGAAAGCTCAATTTTTCAACTACCGGTATTTCCAAAATTTCATTTTGATAGGGCCAAGGATGAGGGAGGTCTTGTTGGTCTCCATCTCCCGATACGCTCTCGCCTGTGTCCAACCTTTTAGACATTTCAACATCTTTTTCTGAATCCAACATTGTAGCATGGCATAGATAATTCGTGTTTACAGTTTGAAAAACACCTCCTTGCTTCTGATGATTTCCTTTAGCTAACCAATGAGTGTTTGCTTTATATGACTCATCCAATCACACTAGTTTTCACTAGATGTGGATGGCGCCAATGATCTGCATTGGATGGCGCGAATAAAATAAAAATTTATACACATAAATCCAAAGCCAAGAGTAAGTGTTTTAAAAATGTAAGGAATAGCAAGTACAGATACTTGTGTGAAAATGTAAGGAGTAGAAGTCAAAAGTAGGAAGAAAAATAAGTAATGGAGTAAAGTATAGATACCTAAAATGTGTACTTAAATACAGTAACGAAGTATTTGTAATTCTTTACTTGACACCTCTGCTTATAACTTATAATTAATGGCAAAACATGTTTTGTTTTACTGTACTAAATCAATGAACTGAGTGGAATTGATCTGACGATGCTAAATATGAGGCGATATTGAAATAGAAAATATTTAGCATAGAGCTTAGTATTGGCCTAGAGGGTTGCAGGTGCCCGGTTCAAATCCCCACAGCTTCCACTCTGGGTTTCTCAGCCCTTAATTCCACATTGCTCCTCGGACTCCACACAATGGAAGCCATTTCAAAGGGGAATGCATTTAACCACATTTAACCCCAAGGGGATGGGTTGAATGCAGAGTGAATTTCCGCATTGTGGGACAATAAAGGGAGTTACATAAGTGCTGATGGGCTCTTGGTTGTTGAGACACTTTGGATACAGATGATCAGTGCAAATGCAGGCCACACTTTCTGGATGTTATTTGGAAGAAACTGCCATATAAACTCTCATGGCATGTTTTTTTTTTTTTTTTTTTTTTTTCCACTGTGCAGATGCTCCACCGTGGCTGTCCATCACAGCTCACTAAATAGTTTGACGTTTGTGGGTTTGATGAGACAAAATGTATATAAAAAAAAAAGAAATGTAAGGGATCCTCACTCTGCCACACCAAGCAGGCTTTTAGTCTGGTTGAAATGGAGGGAAACTGCAGAAATGTTTCAAGCATTTTGTTTGGATGGAATGGGTGACGCTCGCTTATACGTCACCCAGTAACCCGGAAGTATATCGCCTGCTAACCCCAACTGGGCGTGTCATTGATACTAGAAAAAAATACGCATTTGTTTTTTATATTTATGTTGTTTTCTTTTTAATTAATGTTGTGACTCGGCTCTGTAGAGGAGGGAGCTCCGGTGTTCAGTTCAGCTCATGGATAAAGAGAAGTCCAGCGATAATGTGAGTCGCTCCGCTGCATGTCTGTCGGCCTGGTTAAGTGAGGAGATGATGGTTTCCGCTCATTTAACTTTTCTTTACGTGTCTCAGCATGCACAGTGCTCATGGATGGAGATGCACCAGTACATCAGTGAGCTTCTCGCATCTGGAAACCAATCCAAAAACGCGCCAGACGTGAGAAACGCAGCATGGGGGACGGCTGCTGCTGCTGCTAGTGTTCCTTTGGGGGTCAAAGCCTCCTCCATGCAGCCCCTCCAGGCTCTTCAACAAGTCCAGGAGAGGAGAGAGGCAGCCCCGGGCAGAGCGATCAATGCTGGCTCATCTAACAGGAGAGCAGAGGCCAGAGATGGAGCAGAAGGTGGCTTCTCCATGACAGCCTACTTTAGCACACCATCAATAATAATAACCTCTACCTTAAATAAAAAAAAAAAGTTTAAATAATCCCACTCTTAAAAAAATATATAAAAAAATTATAACACTGTCTTCTAGGGTTGCTCAGTGGAGCAGTGGGTAGCACTGCTGCAATCCCTGGGGTCTTTCTGCATGGAGTTTGCATGTTCTCCCTGATCATGCGTGGGTTCTCTCTGGGTACTCCGGCTTCCTCCCACAGTCAAAAAACATGACTGTTAGGTTAAATGGCTTCTCCAAATTGCCCTTAGGTGTGAGTATGTGCATGAATGGTTGTGTCTCTGTGTTGCCCTGCTTTGGACTGGCAACCTGTCCAGGGTGTACCCCGCCTCTCGCCCATAGACACCAGCACCCCACGTGACCCCACTTGGGAGCAAGCGTGTTAGAAAATGGATGTCTACTAGGATTTTCACAATACTAAAATGTTCAACTCGATACTGATACTCAGGAAAATATTCGATACTTTATACCAGGCATCCCCAAACTCGGTCCTCGAGGGCCGCTGTCCTGCAGGTTTCCCTGCTTTAGCACAGCTGATTATAATGATTGCAGTAGAGCAAAAGCCTGTTAATCAACTATTAATTAAAATCAGCTGTGCTGGAGCAGAGAAACATCTAAAACCTGCAGGACAACGGCCCTTGAGGACCGAGTTTGGGGATGCCTGCTTTATGCCATTTTCGATACAAGGATAAAAATAAAGACCACAAAATTTAACAGAAATATTTTTTTAATAAATAAAATACAGTAACTAAATGAATGCAATTAAGCAAGCTTGATTTAAAAAAAAAATGAAAAGTGTTCCTTCCTTGGCTATGCTTTACACACACAATGACAATAGCCAAACCAGTTAACAAATAAAAATAAATGCTGTATTCTGGGAGGGAAGAGCAAACCTTGGGTTTAGCTGCTTAATAAGTTGTTAGAACCCAGGTTTCTCCACAGTTAAATAGAAACCTGATCCATACATATGTACTCACTTCCACAGCTGTTTATTTTCATAGCTTCTGGGGACTTGGCCTCATATTTCGGATGTTGGTCAATAATGGATGGTAGAGTCGGCTGTATCTGATGGCGTTTTGAAAGCAGCTCTACTTCTCTCTGCTTCATTCTGTGACTTCAAGAGAGAAAATAACTCTTTTCAGTGGCATCTATAGTTTTGAAAATGAGTATAGTATCAGGATACGTTTTAGTATCAATACTATTTTGAATATTGACAACCCTACTGTCTACTAATAAACCGCTTTCCATCTCTAAGGACCGAATGAAAATATGTAATTTTATGGTTGTTTTTACCCAATAACTAAAATCGAACGTAAAAAAAAAAAAAAATTCAGATTTATATAACTTATTTTCCATTTTGAAATGATAAAAATAATTTAGTAATATCATAACAGGGGGTATCTGTAATACTGGAGTCTCCATGGGAGATTTCTGTGCTTAGATATCTACAATATTCACCATTTGATATTGAAGTGTTCATCTGTTTACATCTGGAGATTAAGACTGGTATAAATGGGTACGTTACCTTTCTTTTGTGGTGTATGCTAGAGAATTTCAAAGTTATCGTAATTTTTCTAATAGAAAATCTTATTTAAAAAAAATGTTTCCATACAAACGAGGCAATGTGGCTTAAAAACCTGATCTCAGTTCTTTCTTATCAAATCGAATTAATAGATTTTCTTGTCACTTAGTTTTATGACCTATTGCTTTTAAAAACCTAGCTTTGAATCATTCCCTCTGAGAGGCGACCTTCATTTAAAGGGCAATGAAATTCAAGCTGTGAAACATGCTTGTAGAAATAATCGGATTTCACAGCAATCAATGAAAATTCAACAAACTGTTAGTAGCTAGCATTATCTCAGAGTCTATCAGTTGTAAGTGCACATCTAAGAACAAAAGAAATAAACTGATGTGTCTGAGCTATCGAACTTCAAAATATTAAAATTAAATCCTCAAATTAAAAAGCTCAATCAATTTTAGTGATTTATCACCCATGACTAAAATAACAGATCGATTAAAATCAAATTGAGAAGGCTTCCTGGAAGTCTAGTGGATGTTTTTTTTTTTTTACTTTTTTGGAACAGATAAATGAAAGCATTCAAAAAAGTTCCTGATACAGTGCAGGCCAACAGTCCTCCCATCTTTTCCACAGCATCATGGTTCCTACAATGTACATAATTATGTTTTGCTTTAGTTATCCAAATACACTTTTATGCCCCAAGGAAATAAGTAGTAATTGATCAATGTGATCAGCATGAAAATGTTTTTTTTACTTTTGAAAGAGATTTTTTTTAAAGATTTTTTTTGTTTGTTTTTATGGCACTATTGGCTCGCTTTTTTGACAGTAGGCTGACAAGAAAGGGGTATGAGAGAGGGGGAGAGACGTGCGGCACAGGACCACGGTCGGCTGCGTCGAGGACAAAGGCCTCCGCACATGGGTCGTGCACGCTTACCACTGCGCCACCTGCAGTATTAACACCTGCATACAGTATTAATACTGCCAACAGTGATTGTATAATTGAGTGTAAATATCTCTCTTACCTCAGATGTAACCTTTTCCCCCTAAATGAATGAAAGATCAAATTTAAGTCCAAGAATTCCACTATATATCACCAGCACTGTATCCCTACTTGTTCCATGTCTCAACTGATTAAGTTGGTGCTTTATTTTTGGTAAACATGTCTAACACCTGTTTTTCCTGTCTATTCTGCAGGTCTGGATGAGCATCATGCCTGCACCTGCCCAGGCTGTCCTTTCTTTAGCTCCTCTTCCTCATTTGAAACCTTACTACCCAGACAGTCCTTTTCCTCATCTCTTTATTCTCATGCTTCATGCCAGCCTAAAGACTTGAGCGTGAACTTGTGCTCGCCTGACACAACCGGCCCCGGGTCAGATTCCAGGCCGGCCAATCGACCACAGAGTCATGATGCAGACAGAGGGACCCAGAGCCAAACCCCAAATCCCGACGCCCCTCCATCAAGACAGTCAGCGGGCACTCTGGCCCATCTCTCCATGTTTCCCTGCTTGTGTTGCCACCGTAGATTACCAACCTGCACCCACCTTGTGAGCAACCAGGAAAGTTCCAACTCTCCCTTTTCACACACCCACGCCCACCATCATTTCCACCACCATCACTGCCCCATGACGTCATGCGTTCCCTGTCCTCAGCTTGCCCACCCTGCACAGCTATCCGCTCCCTTTCCGTGCCTGTCCTGCCGATGCTCTCTTCCCACCTGTCACCAGCAGCCCAGACAAACGGAGCAACAGCAGCTGGAGGAGGAGAGAAGGCGGCCCCTCCTGTCGCTTCATCCTTGTATGCACTGCACAGCCTCTTTTCCAAGACCGTCTCAGCTGCTGCAGCATCAGCGCTCCGAGCACGCCCACAAACCCTCCGGTTTCCTCTGCACAGAGTGCGGCCGGGCCTTCAACTCCCACAGCAACCTCCGCATACACCTGAATGTGCACACAGGTGCACGGCCTTACTCCTGCACCGACTGCGGGAAGCGTTTCAGCCAGTCGGGAGCGCTAAAGATCCACAAGAGGATTCACACAGGCGAAAGGCCGTATTCGTGCGACTTCTGCGGCAGGGGGTTTCCCCATCTGGCGGGGGTCCGGGCCCACCTACGGACCCACACGGGGGAAAAGCCCTACAGCTGCAGCCTGTGTGGGAAGTGTTTTACCCAGTCAGGAGCTCTTAAGATCCACACCCGTATCCACACAGGAGAGAGGCCCTTCATCTGCAGCGTCTGTGGGAGGGGCTTTTCAAATCGCTCCGGGATCCGCTTCCACTATCGCACGGTCCATGGGCTGTCCCCAGAACACGATGGGGAGGCAAGAACAAAAACATCAGGATTCTCTCCTGGGCGTCCAAGATCCCTTCCTCCAACTAGCATCGGACACGCCGCGCAGAGCAACCTGGACAGGCCCTCTGCTCCGGACCCCTCAGAGCTGATCCCAACCAACCGCAGCGAGAGCAGGTCACAGGAGGAAGGAGCCAGCAGTCATAGAGAGGGGCTGCTCTATGCCTGCGAGGATTGCGGCCTCCGTTTTAAAGACGCCCCGTCCCGGAATAGACACCAGACCCTGGTGCACTACTCGCACGAGCGTCAGGCGGAGGAGAATCAGAGACAGGGTGAAGACTTCAGCACAAGAGAAAATGTTCCGCATCCAAGCGAATGAAACATATTCATGTTTTTTTTCCCCTTCAAAGTTCACATTTTATTGGTTTTGTATGCAGTGGGCCAACACAAAGGGAAGGTTAAAGGTTAGATGATTTCCCACTTTCTCTGAGTCTACTGCATACAAACCCATGTGAAACCTGTGGGAGCAACAACTCTGCAAGAAGGTCGGGAGGTTTGAATACTTAAACCTGATACTGCATCAACAGGAGGAAGGAGCACAAAAACAAAGAAAACATTGTTGCAGTGCAGTTTGTCAGGTGGAGAACCTGTTGAACAGCTTCCATAAAGCAAACTGAAATGAGCCCTAACCCATATTTAATTAATGGAGCTTTAACCAAACACGGTCCTGACCGAGCAGCGATCATGTTTACGGTGTGGCAGCGCTGCAGGTTTAGGTCCAGCTTTACTACAAGTTGAAAATGCTCCACATTGTATTTTTGATACATTTCTTTTTTTATTGTGCCTTATTCTGCAGTGAAAAAGGCATCGTCGGAAAACTTATAAAAGTCACAGTGTAAAGATTAATTGAAGAAACGATTAACCGTTTTTCCCCCCCCAACCGTTAATCTTAGCATAAAGTTTCCTATAATAAAAACAAAGTGCTATTTCCTGATTGCTTTAGAAAAAATACAGATTTTGTTATACAGTAGTGAAAGCAAACAGTGCAGTCACAGAATCCAATGGACTTTGCATACAGTTTTAATAAGAATACAAGCTCTGTTAATTTAATTTTGCACTTCTTCCTACATCTAGCAGAGTTTTGAGAAAAATCCCTGATATCAAATGTGTTATAAAATATAAGGTTCATGATACTTTTCTTCTCCTTTATTCTTGTGCCTCTGCTGTACTATAACTCCCAAGTCCTTTTTAAACAGGTTATTTCTCCACATAAAGATACACAATACAGTATATTATTAGAGGTCTGAAGCTCTCTGGTGCCACCTAGTGGTCATATTTAGTCACAGCTTCAAACCTGTCTAACATTTACAGTGTTTCTTTTACAGCAAGTTCTGTTTTGCAATAATCTTTAAAAAAAAAAAGATGGACGTGTTTGTTTCTGTAGAAAGTGCAGCTTGTGATTGAGCATTTCGTTGGCAGACTGTTTCTCTCAGACAACAATCAAACTTGGAGCTTCTCTGTGCATTTTATAAAATAAAAACTGTACAAGTACGCATATATTGGTCTCTGTGGGTCTCAGATCTTTTGTTTTTCAGTGTTCAACCCTGGTGTCCTCTTTGTTTATATTTAGAGTGACTCCTGATGTCCTTGAACATTCAGCGACCGGTCAGCAGGAGTTTTTCCTGAGAGGAATGTTCCGGTTTCCGTCATAAGATCTCAGAGCTCCTCTAGTTCACATAGATCTTCACAGCTGAGCTGCTTGGATTCACAAAGGCTCCTCATATGTGTGCTTCCTTATTAAGGAGTCAGTTGATTTGGGCTCTGCATAGACTTCGCTGGCAGGCCGAGGGCTGCCGGCATGCAGAGCTGGGGTGCAGTAGCCGTTGAACAGCACCCTGTGTGAGGGGCAGTCATACCGACTGTGACCGGTGGACACATGAGCGAGAGGTCTCTGTGCAGTGCTGTGAAGTAACCCCGTCAAGGTGGGCGGTTTATGTTCGGGGGGCAGCTCGCTGAAAGGAGTGGCGTACTCGGGCTCCGGAGGTAGAGGCTCGGCGTACTCTGGAACGCTGCCAGGCGTGTCATAATGAGTGCAGGTGAACGGGGTGGTGTATCCATCGTCGGAAGAGGGCCTGAATGTAGATCCAAGCTTCTGTCCACCAGCTGTGACGGCAGGAGCAGCATAGTCTGGAAAGGAAACCAGCATGTTAGACGCATCAAAATAAACAGCTTTTGTATTTCAGTAATGGAACTCACAAGTTAATGCGTAAAACGGGACACAACTGCATTATTTAATTAATGGGAAAAGAAAAAGTTTGGAAATGTCTTTCCTATTGTTTAGACCCAGAATGGATCCAACTTTGGATGATTTAAATGTCTAAGAATCACTTTTTCATTTTCTCACACAGCTTCAATTTGAGTTGTGGAGTTAGAAGCCGAGGCGCTCGATGAGGCAGAGATGGGACGGCTGCCTTTATTGAGCCCCAATTAAAGGAGCTCTTTCACAGCGACTCTGAGGTCCAAAGAAAGGAATGTTTATACAGCGGCTGGCGATGAGCTGAGCCGGGACAAAGAAAGAAAGCCTGGCTGCTCAAACTGACCACCGGCAACAAAGGAGGGAAGAAAAAAAAAAAGAAGCAAAACAGAGCAGCAGAAAATGTTCCTCAGTTCTCACCGTTTAGAGGGGGACTTGGTAGAGCATCGTGTACGTTTCGCACCAGCGGGTATGAGATCAGCTCTGATGATGGATGCAACAGACTCTTTGCTTTCAGACTCTGACAGTCAACTGACATGAAGAGAAAGTCAGAATCAGAGTTTATGAAAAGCTTCAAATACGTTAAACCTAAGAGCCTGACTCACCTGTGGGTAAGGAATTCTTCATTTGGGAGTCCTTTTTCCTACCAGGAGAACATGACGATATTTTACATACTGCACACAGCTTTTAGTTTATTGAGAAACCTTTACATTTTATAGGTAGGGTTATGTGATCAAAATGTTCCATTTTCTGTGAGCAAAATACAACTTAGAAGATTTTAGTGCTGGTCAGATATTAACATACACTAACGACACAATAAGTAAATGTCTAATAATGCATACAGACCCGTGCATGTAAAGGTGCAGTCCATTTAACAACCAGGGAAAAAAAATGATCAGGATCTGTACTTTGACTAGGCCAGGGAGTTTTTACTTGGTGAATTACTGCTTTGTTTTGGGTACATGCCATGTTGAAGAGAATGTGTCATTGATTCTATGATGCTGAGGCGATCCATATCCTGCTGAAGCAAAGCTGCCCAAATCATGAAATCTCTGCCTCATGGAGGCTAGGAGGTTTCCTAGCAAGCTTCATGCCAAACATGTCCTCTGTTCTGGAGTCTAAAATAAACAGTTTTAGTCAGATGAAGTTTTTCCCGAAAGGTGCTGGTTTGCTCTCTGGTCAATTTTAGTCTCACCTTTAGGTTTTTCTTGGTGAGCAAAGCTTTCCTTCCAGTACACCTCTCATTAGATATAAACTTAAAGTCTCCTTATTGTACAAGAGAATTATTAAATATTGGGTTTCATTTTATTAATTTGAGCATTTTTGGTCTGATTTCAGGGCATGCTTGCCTAGACGTTGCTGCTGGGTTGGTTGTAAAACTGATTTTACAATAGATAAAGTAGGCCGTTTGTATAATTACTGAAAATCAATGGCTTTATGCTTCAACAAATTCAAAAAAGGTCAGAATTGTAAAAGGCTGGAAAAACTGTAGTTTTCCTGCAGTCTGTAGTTTTCCTGCAGAGGCAAATTTAGGCAAACTAACTGGGAGTGTTTGTGTAACTTTAGCAAGTATGCAGAATTTTAAGCCTTTCTGCAATACATTCAGACTTGCTATACAACCTCATTCTTAGGTTGTAATACTACTACAAAATATACGTTAAGAGACATGAAAAGCCCTAAATAAAGAAAACACACACAGTAAGTGTGATCATCTGATGGATTGTGCCTGATTTATTCTAGCATCCATTACAGCAGATCATCAGAAAATATAAGAAGGAAACAAGTGAAGAAATACCTTCGTTTCCACCAGATTCCAGCCAATAAGCAGCTCCCACACATCACCAGTCCCAGGACCACTCCCACTGCGATGATCACTGGCTGACTGGGGCCTGCAACAGAACAAGTCTGTGACTGATGTGCATGTGAGGTCACAGTGATGTCACCGACACAGGCTACGGTCGAAAGTTAACGTTTTCTACTTTGCTACGTAGAGTTCATACTTTGAGTTGTTTCCACAAACGGTGTCTCCTCTGTGGGAGTGGGAGAGGGGCTTGGGTTAAGGTTATCCACGTTAAATTTGATTGAAGGAGATTCTCCTGGAAAAGAAGCAGGAACTGTAGCGTCTGGCGAGACTGTGTGAACAGATAATATTTGACTGGAGCAAACAGGATGTGCTCACCTCCATGAGGTCGTGACCTCGGCGTGGCCTTGGCAGCGGGGCAGCCCAGAAGCTCAACCTGAGCAGAGGCTCTGCCACGCCAGCTCAGTGACTGAAGCCGAACAAACCGAGCAACGACCGCAGGGAACAGGTTGTTGAGCACCCTGAGGTGGCCGTCTGTGTAAGCCTGGAACACCTGGGAGCAAACAGGGACAACCAAAAATCAAGCTACTGTCAAAGAACTCAAAGGTTTTCCTTATTTCTTTATTTCTTCAGCAGTTCGGTGTTGGAAGTAATGTTCAGAATTTCTGCGTATAAATACAAATAGACGCCAAATAAAAGAAAAAATCATCAGAGCTAGCTGTACTTCGCACACGGCTATCGAGAGATAGCATGATAGAATGGTTGCAACATCGGAACCTTTTCATTAAATTGCGCACTAAATCATTAAATGGGTCATATACTGAAGTTTAAAAGTATAATGTTCTCGCCTCAAATGATCTCAAAACGTACTTTTATAGAATAACGAAAACAAAAAACTTTTAACTTAATACTCTGAGCTCTGTGAGCGCTCCATTGAAAGCTGCTGCTGCCGCAGAGCATGCTGGGACAGCTGTCAATCTCAAGAACGGACAAGTCTGCTCTGATGCATGCTGGGTAAAGAGGGAGGGGCGAGAACAACATCCGGGGACTTTGTCAGTTCACGGTCTTGTGTTCTTGTGAGTGGAGCTGTACTAGGGCTGAGGCTGATGACGTTTCATGAGCACAGGAGGACGTTCAATTACACATACTGAGAAATGGCCAAAGTGACTGAATGTCTGAAACAGGCTGGATCACCAACCTTTCTCTCTTTGCTTGCAGCATCTTTGTAAGTCTTCCAGCTCTTTCTGTCCTTACTGAACTGCAGACTGTAGGATTCGATGTAGTTCGCCGATGAGCCTGTTGTGACCAACCCTGGGGTTAAGACAATGAGATTATATCACATTCAATTCTAATGAATAATCAGATTATTTGCAGCTCTTGTTTGGCTCTCAGCACCAGATCTTCAGAAGGTTTGTGTCTTAAAACAGGCGCAAACGTGTTTCTATGCACAAAGCACACCTTAAAAGGAGGTGGAAAATCATTTATGTTTGCAGTACACTTTTTTTCTGCTTGTGTGCCTTCATTAATATGCAGATCAAATTCTAATGATCCGACTGCACAACTTCATGGGTGGAGGATACGGAAATGTAAACATTCATCACGTGCAAAGGGATTTTCTAAATCTGAAACTCAACTGAGGCCTCAGTTTTTCATGTCTTTTTTTGGTTCTTCTGAAAATCAGGTGCAAACTGACAACTTTGCTGGCACAAAGAAGGAGTTGGTGCGATGCCAGACATTCTGTGTGCATGGAAACATATATGGAGCCTAAGAAATAACAGTAGCGTAACATTAATAAAGAAAAAAAGGTGGACAGGCCGGCACAAATTATTATTTATTTATACAATTGAACCAAAACATAAAATATTGACTTAACTTAAATATTTCGTCATGTTTATATATATATATAAAAAAGTATCATACTGAAAAGAAAATGTAAAGAGATGTGGGGGGGAGTGAAAATGCCCTTCTTTTCACAAAAGGGATATTTTACGCCTTGACCTGTAAACATAAACGTACACAAAGCTTGAGTTGTTTTTTTTTTTCTTGTAGGTTTTTGGAAAACAAAATCTGCTCTTTTTAATGGGTGAAACCAAAACTGGTTTACACGTCTTAACATTTGGGCAGCAATCTTTGTAGATCGCATGCAACACACGTGCAATTTAGTTCCCCTTCTTCTAACTTCATGCTGCTTTAGGCTGAGAGGATCTAATGACCTCTCTTCCTTGGTCTGCCATTTTCCCTTACCACCTTCCAGTGACATATTGTTTGCAGCAGCCATTAGTTTTAATAGAAGGTACACCTGGCCCAGTAAGGCCAGGGACAGAGTAACTGAAAGCTATCTTCTTTAGATTCCCC